CTGTTAACCAAGATCTCTATTGTTTCGTCCAAAGGCACGTTCGTGAATAACGAGGAGACATCATACGAAACCAAGATTTCACCCTTGTTGATCTTCAGCTCGTGAATCTCTTTTGTGAAATCAAAATTATCAGTAACTGTATACTGATTAAGGGACAAGGGCTTCAATTTCTCGTCGAGCCATTTAGCAAGGGAAAATTGTACGTGTCGGTGGCTGATAATATAGGCCTCATAGCCAATGGTTCTTTGTGGGTTTTGGCAACCCATATAAATGTGCTAATCTGGAACCTGTAGGGCTCACGGAATCTGCAATGGTCTTCGGTAGAATTCTACGAACAATGGAATCTAGGATCTTCTCTTTCTGTAGTAGGGGTGGTAATATTTGGATGGTCTGCCCCTGGTCTTGGGTTTCTCAGGGGAATGGCACGGAACTTGCTTGTATCATTGACTGAGGCTTCAGAAAGTAATCGCAAGTATTCGGTTTTGTCTAGAACCACAACACCAGACCCTTTGTCGGGTTTCGTGATAACTATGTCGTCGCGTCCTTTTAACTCCTCTATAGCTCTCAACAATGTCTTTGGAGGTTTCGGACTCTTGCGTTCGATGTAATTGAGTGCAACGAAACGTAACGTTGCTGCAGATAATTCCTTTAAATTATCATCATTGAGGTGGGGTTCAAGGCTCAATAGGCCTTTTCAAAGCTTGCTTTAACGTCCATGGGAGACACACGTTGAGGAATGGCAAATGTTAATCCTCGGCAAAGGACCAGTCTCTGAAAAAAAGGAGAGGTTGTAGGATGATAGGTTCAAAATATGTTCGTCAACATCCATTTCGATGTTGAGCAGCCGTGAGATCTTCTTCGTGTGAGTATTCGTAACTTCCTGATGATATTTCTTTTTAAGGCTAACCATAGTGCGTAGAACGCAGGTGTAGCGAAGCAAACTACAGCTCCGGCGAATCTCATCGTAGATGGAATTGATCGCGCGTTTTAGATAAGCACTCTGTTTGATCTTTCCATTTAGTTCCTCAGAGATGACATTCCTTGTAAAGGTTTCGGAAGAGTGCTTCCATTTAGAACGCCTTGCTTTGTCGACCTTAGCGAAAGTTGGAGTTAGGTCAAAGTTCTGACAGAGTCTGAGGAATTCGATTGAAAAGATTAAGAATCAATTAATTAAGAATCTTAAAACGCGATAATCAGCTACATTTGTTCAGGAGACTTGAACAATGCAGCAAGAAACAGATTAACTGCGATGGCTCAATCGAATTCCTCAGACTCTGTCAGAACTTTGACCTAACTCCAACTTTCGCTAAGGTCGACAAAGCAAGGCGTTCTAAATGGAAGCACTCTTCCGAAACCTTTACAAGGAATGTCATCTCTGAGGAACTAAATGGAAAGATCAAACAGAGTGCTTATCTAAAACGCGCGATCAATTCCATCTACGATGAGATTCGCCGAGCTGTAGTTTGTTTGCTACACCTGCGTTCTACGCACTATGGTTAGCCTTTAAAAAGAAATATCATCAGGAAGTTACGAATACTCACACGAAGAAGATCTCACGGCTGCTCAACATCGAAATGGATGTTGACGAACATATTTTGAACCTATCATCCTACAACCTCTCCTTTTTCAGAGACTGGTCCTTTGCCGAGGATTAACATTTGCCATTCCTCAACGTGTGTCTCCCATGGACGTTAAAGCAAGCTTTGAAAAGGCCTATTGGAGCCTTGAACCCCACCTCAATGATGATAATTTAAAGGAATTATCTGCAGCAACGTTACGTTTCGTTGCACTCAATTACATCGAACGCAAGAGTCCGAAACCTCCAAAGACATTGTTGAGAGCTATAGAGGAGTTAAAAGGACGCGACGACATAGTTATCACGAAACCCGACAAAGGGTCTGGTGTTGTGGTTCTAGACAAAACCGAATACTTGCGATTACTTTCTGAAGCCTCAGTCAATGATACAAGCAAGTTCCGTGCCATTCCCCTGAGAAACCCAAGACCAGGGGCAGACCATCCAAATATTACCACCCCTACTACAGAAAGAGAAGATCCTAGATTCCATTGTTCGTAGAATTCTACCGAAGACCATTGCAGATTCCGTGAGCCCTACAGGTTCCAGATTAGCACATTTATATGGGTTGCCAAAAACCCACAAAGAACCATTGGCTATGAGGCCTATATTATCAGCCACCGACACGTACAATTTTCCCCTTGCTAAATGGCTCGACGAGAAATTGAAGCCCTTGTCCCTTAATCAGTATACAGTTACTGATAATTTTGATTTCACAAAAGAGATTCACGAGCTGAAGATCAACAAGGGTGAAATCTTGGTTTCGTATGATGTCTCCTCGTTATTCACGAACGTGCCTTTGGACGAAACAATAGAGATCTTGGTTAACAGAGCCTTTTCGAACAATTGGTTCAATACTACTCACAATCTTGCCCTTACCAGAACAGATCTTATTGACCTCCCTAAACGTAGCCACCAAAGGCCAACTATTTCAATTTAACGGAGCTCTATACGAACAGACAGATGGCGTTGCTATGGGGTCCCCTCTCGGGCCCTTATTAGCAAACGTCTTCATGTCATCCATCGAAGATACCCTTGAGCGACAAAGAAAACTTCCATCCTATTATCGTCGATATGTTGATGATACACTCACTGTAATGCCTGATCTAGCAACAGCAACTACCTTCTTGCATACCCTCAACAGCGCCCACACTTCGGTCAAATTCACCATGGAGGTGGAGAAGAACAGCAAGCTTCCTTTCCTTGGCACCGAACTACTCAACCATGCACCTCGGATTGAAACCAAGGTATATGTGAAACCAACAAACACGGGCCTACTATTACACTACCAAAGCCATGTAGACAATCGCTACAAACGGAGCTTGCTGAAAACTATGCTGGATCGCGCACACCGATTATCTTCCTCCTGGGCCCATTTCTCTGATGAGTGTGATCGCCTAAAGAAAGTTTTCGCACGGCTTAAATACCGGGGCGCCTGGTAAATTCTACCATTAACACCTTCTTACAATCAAGAATTGTTGGTACGCAGCCCACACAGACGCCCAAAGAACCAATATCCATTGTTCGTGTGGTCATACCTTTCAAAGATCAAGAATCAGCAAATTATGTTAAGAAAGAGCTCAAGAATCTTAGCATGAAGGTGCAGACAACTGTCCAGCCAGTATTTGTTAGCCGCAAAGTAAGCCAAGATCTTAAAGTACGAGAAATCAAGCCACAGATTGTCAACCAACAACGCGTCGTTTATCAATTTCAATGTGACCTGTGTGATGCGGGTTATGTGGGCTATACACGCGGACACTTACACACACGCGTGGATGGACATAAACGAAAGGCATCTTCAATATATAAACACTACCACGAACAGCACAGCGAAGTCCCGAAAGACCTACTGAAACGTTTTAGCATTCTGAAAAAGTGTAGTAACAAGTTCGATTGTTTGGTGAACGAAATGCTTTTCATCAGAGACTTAAAACCCACTCTGAACGTGCAAAGCGATTCAATTCGCGCAAAAGTATTTGTTTAATTAGCTCGTAACATATTTATGCTAATTTAATGTTACACTTTGCCACAAACTTCATTCTTTATTTCTCCTTGACAATGGCGTCATGATGACACCGAAACGTCGGTTTTTATCGTTAGTTTTTGCTAGTCTTTGAATTATCAAAATCACTTGAGAAAAATTTGGCTTATCACGGTTTGTTGAATTTTTGTCACAAACACTCCATGCCCCTCTAAGGCCCTGCAAAATGGAACTTTGAGCATAGTTAATGCCATAAACAAACCAAACTGTTGATATGAAGCCCTGATTCTGTATTTGGTAAGTGAAAATGAATTGTTAAAGCCAAACCAGTTTGATTGTTCAGAATTACCCCGACTCTTACCGTACAATTGCTCTTAAAAGGCCTTTCATTGGGCAAAAAAGGTGACTTTTTCTTTGAAAACCTAGTACAGCCAACTTTGTCACAGCGAACTGGCTTTTCGTAAGCGATCACCCGGCATGATCACGTACGACTGTAAGAAAACCATTGCTCAAATATCACAAAAGTTCAGTTTCAAAAAGCGCTGACCAAGTGTGCTCGCAGATTATAACAGTTGACTAGCAAAAAAGGCTGTAATACGATCCATAGGTAAAATTGGATTGAATCATTGATGAAAGATGTTATGTACAAATTTTCAACAGTTCTAGGCGCCATTCGGTTTGAGACATTGTTGGCAGTTGTCTGTTTGCCTGAGTTTTTGCTTGTTAGGTAATAATTTTATGTAATCACGTTCAAATCACTTCGGTTTGAGCTTAATTTCTTACTTTTTTCCCGTAGATGACCACCTCTCAGCATAAGCGACCACTTTGTCCTGCATCAAGGGTGGTCGCTTACGAGAGTGTTGACTGTACCAGTCATAGAGCACAAATGACAATGTTCTTACCTTCATATAAAAATACTTGAGTTTTTCTCTGACTTATATTTTTCAGGTCATATTTCCATGTATTGCCACAAGCATGGAAAGTCCCCATAATTTTCCAAGCCATATTTTAAAAGATAAAGTAAGCTTACAAAACGATCGTTAACCGATAATCTTTGTCTGACGTTTTTTATAGCCTAAATAGCTCTTGCAACAGTAATGAATCGTGACCAAACGTAGATACAGTGTACATATATACGAGCCGCAATGATCAGCATCTAGGTGACCCACGATCTATCAGATTTCCCAAATACTTTAGCGCTCAGTAAGTGAAACCACAGAAGGGATCCACAGTTAGGAGAGCGGGATGATAAACTTTTTTCGTGTTGATGTTGATATGAAGCAACCCCATACAAAGTCATGAAACGCCTCGCGATGTGATTGTTATTGTATCATCTTGGACGCGAGAGTGTGATGAATGGACCAAGTCGACGAGTCGCGCAACCTTAACTGACTCATTGATTTTTAAGTAAGGCGGGTTTTAAGTCGAAGAATCGAAAAAAATTGT